CATCCAGGAAGAGCAGCCAGGAACGCGACAGAGAGCTTGTATAGAGTGTTGCGGCCTATTACACCCTAGATAGAGAAAGGAAACGATACACTCCTGCCATGTACTTCCTAGACAGGAGTTGCGGATCAGATCGCTAGACAAAAAAAAAAGGCATGGAATGCATATTGTCAACATTCCATCGAATTGCGTCCTCGGACACATCGGAATTAGCGGAATGACTAACAGGTCCTATATAATCACGTCCGAATTGCACATACAACTGGTCGACCAAGGCGGATTCACGTTATATTCTCGGTACATCTGATAATAGCTCATTGAACCACCCTGGTAGGTCAGAAGTCCATGTCCCTTGGTCGCGCATGTGTGCACGATCTGCCGATAAGCTCAAGCAAGCCGCCGATCAAGTCTTCAAAGGTATCGCATCATTCTATGAGGACATGTGGACCTTCGCGGGACCGTTCCTTGGAGATACTAGTCGCTAACCTTCTCATAACACTCTTGGACCGCCACCTCTGCGTCTCGCTCAAGCTGGACATTGTCCCCTCCAACCGTTCTACTTTTATGAAGGGGTTCCTGACAATGCTGGGCATAACCATCTTATGCACGAGAAGCTGTATTTCTGGTTCTGGGTCTGTTGATCCTTATCCCGTGCAAAGAAACTGGTGACCGAAATGCAAAGGAATGGTTTGATTGAAAGGTGACAATGTATACTATGGGGCCAGGTATATATTTATATAACCTCGTCTTTTCAATGCAGAAGCGCTGCATCTATCAGCGTTCTGCACTTTATATCTCCGTTATATTTCCGATGCTCCTTTTCTCCCATACGCATATGTACTGAATATTTGAAGAACATTGAAAAGTCGAGTCCAATTTAATTGATTGCGCGAAGGCGACTATACTCGACAGACGTCACATGACGCTCTAGCGGCGGGGGATGATGTAGTTTAGGTTCTTTGTTGTGGAGATAAGCCACCTTGCTCACCTTCTCTCCCTCTTGCGATCATGGAAGCAGTGGGCAAAATGTACACATCAGAGGTAACATGATGCATCATGTCACCTATCTCCCATTATCAACCCGATCAATGGGTCTTCATCACCACCACTCCCAAGCGGCCGCATCCGACCAAGGAGCAGCGATCTCAGATGCGACGGCGCGTCATGCGTGAGATTGGTTACACGCGCCGAAATACTCACACAGCATTACTTCAGAGCCTTTCGACATCATCATGCATATTGAGCGATACGACCGCATCTGCTTCATCCTCCAGGACTTTTTCTGTTGATCCTCTATCTGGAAGGCCTCGTGGTTCAGACTGTCCGCCCTCGTCGGCCCATGTCCCGTCGCTCCTGACCTGTCCGTGGGATAGGGAGTCGCAGCGCCTCCTTCACCACAGTATGTTGCTTTTCATAGCTCTGTGGTCCCGTCTGGGTCGTACTGTGCTGACAGATGCCACCTCTCAGTGTTCTCAGATGCGATCTCGAGCCAATTTCGGATTTACAAAGATCGTTGGTATCCAATATGCATCACGAATTCCGCCGCGTTCGACCAGATGCTGGCTACATATGCTACCCATATCTCACAATACCACGTGCAAGTCGACTTGAAGCATTTCATACTCTCAAATCATACCAAAGCGCTTATGCGGGTTCGGAGTGATATCGGTGCTATGTCGCTGGGCAGTAAGCAGGCCTTAGAGGGTACATTGAGCGCGATTACTGCCTTGGCATGCTATTCACATCTGCAAGGAGATATGGTTTCATGGAGATCGCACATGTCAGCTGTGTCAAGACTGATCCAGAAGTCAGGCTTATCACTGGAGTCTTTGGATGAGAAGTTGATGACCGTCGTTAAATGGTTCGTACTCAAGAGGGCCTAATTACTCTCACTTGATGCGATGTGCTAACAAGTGCAGGGTGGATCTAATTGGTTCCTACGCACTTGACATCGTCCCTGCTCTAGGCGACATAGATAAGGGAGCTGATTATTTACAACCCCCCTGCAAGTCCGTGGTACCGTGCTTAGAGTCTTTGAACCTTCCGGCGCCATTGCTCTCGGCTTTCCAATTGTTACAATGGACCAACACACAAATAGTCCCGCAAGACTCTGTCCGGTCAGACCCAGTAGAGGTTGATAGGTTAATCCATCCACTTACTGATCAGTTCTTGTCACTACGCTATGATGCATACACTTTTGGTCCTATATGCTCCAGCCTTCGCTCAGGAGCGTTGCTATATCTCGCCGAGTTTCGACGAATGTCTGGCATCAGCCCGGTAGTGACAGAAGTACATGTGCGGCAGTTACGGCTTTCAATGGAGGCCCTCAGTCCAACATCAGTCCCTTCAGAATTGACGTTGTGGCTCCTCACTGTGGGTGCCCTGGAGGCTAGAGCTACCTCAGACCGGGATTTCTTCTACAGCCAGCTTCTCCTACTGTTTCAGATATTGGAAATATATTCAGTCCTGTGCTGGAGGCAAATGTTGAAAACGCTTGTCTGGCTTGACGCCGTGTTTGACAATAAGCTAGAGACCATCTGGGGTCTGTTGCAGGGTTAATCTAGCCAGCACTACTACGGAGAGATGTCTCCACAGCATGAGGATTGAACTTAACCAAAGAAACACATAACTTCCTGAGTCGATGATCGCTTCAGAGTGGGCGGGCGGTCGTGGTTGAGCCTTAACCAGAGCAGTATCCTACTTTCTTTGGCTCGCAGTCACCCGCACAACCATCATAAAAGACACAAGGATGGTCAGCGTCGGCGCACACATTCTTCAGAGTGGCCGTATCACCGTAGTTGAGGTTGATGCCGACTACTTCGCCGCCGTCGCGAGCGGTAGTACCCTCAACATAGACATTCCGCTTGCATTGGTTGTCACAGTTACCGCAGGAGCGATAGACTTTGCCATAGTCTTCGGCATAGAAGTTGATGATCTACAACATTGAGCATTGGTTCAGGGAGGGACAAAGAATCATCACTCACGTTGACAGTACCACAACCGTTGTGCTGGACAATCTTGTCCGAGGCGTGATAGGCACCACCGCCGATGATCCAAGTCTCCTGGCCAGCCTTGTCGTTTTTCTACCCTATTATCAGACCTGACCAAGTATATGTATATATGTGCTTGGATACTCACAATGGTGATGGCATCTTCGCAAACATCCTCAAACCAGACGAATTGCAACGTGCATGGACCGTCACAGTGCACACCCTCAGCCTGGTTGGCGCCGATGATGACGTTCTTCAGAGTAGCACCAGAGTGAAGGTAGAATACGGCATCCTTCCAATCGCCCTCGGACTGGTCGTTACAGGCGCCAGAGCCACGGTCGTACTTGGCCCAGCCGGCGTCGAAGACTTGCCCCGCCGCAACCTCAATCACGGCGCTATTGGAATAATGAGCGGTGGGGGTAGGAACTCCTCCCTCGTAGCCCAGACATGCTAAAGCGACGGGAACGAGAACGGGGAGCGCCGCAATGCTTGACCACATAGTGACAGACTGGTAATGGGGATCGAATGTCTGGTCTTCGACGAACGTTCGCAGTAGATTACGAGGCTTTTATAGCCATGAGCACACAATGATACTATCGAGATGGAACAGTCATTGGTGGACCATACTGCACCTCGAAATTTCGTGCAATTTAGGTGCAGTTTATGCTACTGGTCAACAGTGGAATTATAGGGATAGCCGTGAGGTCATCCCAACTATTTCCCTATCATACCCTCCAATCGCAACGGGAACCCTCCTTTGAAGCAAGTGTTGTCAAATGAAGGTGCCTTGGCTTGGCTTGAGATAGGCGGATATGGAGTGATGAATGCTGTAGTTCATGTCGCCAAGCACGGCGTCCGGAGTAATGTTTGCTTCTACTCATGTCTGCTCGCACAAATCACGAAATGACCACACTTTGCGAGTCACATTGTCACCGGAGAATATGACCGGGATGACCGCCAAGGACTTGGCTGAAACGGGGATGCTCGACACTTCGGCATTTGAGTGGCCCTTTCTATATCGACCAGCCCGGTTTCTCCATTCGATTTGAGGCGAATCTTTCTCTTCCCCACTCGATGTCATGTCTGCACCTGCTTATATCTATATGGTCAGACTGTCCGTGTGTCAACACTGGCGGATAAATAAACCTTCAATTTGTGCTATGACCATACCCTGGCGTGGTCTCCAAGTGTACCTCAATATCAGGATGCTTGAGTACGGGTACAAATTGATGGTCGTCGATAGCATCAAACGAATAATTGGAATAGCTTTCCTCATATCAAGCTCATCTGGAATGCGAGTTTATATAACACCTCACCTAATGTCTCTAAAAAAAGTACCTGGTGCTCCTAGCCTCCCATATGAAGGTAGACTGGAAACCCTATAAGTGCACTGGCGGTGGACAAAGGCAAGCTGCATCAGAAGCTGAAAGTTTTCAGGCTTGGGATAGCGCACTAGGGAATGCAATACAAGGAAAGCTAAGGTAGGAGAGACAGTGTCTCCCTAGACAGGCAACGTGTACTCAGTGACGAGCACATTCAGTCAGTGGAGATATTAGACCCTAAGAAAGATGCATCATTTGGGCCTTGCCTGGTCGACAGTACCTATATCTATATGTGTTGGTGGAGTAAGGTATGATGATTTGCGAAGCCTGATCGGAATATGGACAGATGTATATGGCTATCGACAAGCGAGGCACAGTATTTCTTGCATCTTACCCAGACATGTCAGGGGTTGGGAGTCTGACCGCAAAAGTACTGTTGGACCTGACCTAAACGCTTGACTACATAGCGCTAAGGTTGTTTTGGCTTGGCTCTGATTTAGTTTGTGTTAGATGAGATGCTCGAAACAACCACGTAGCTGGCTATGTCATTTATCTAACACTCATTCAATCCTCTATTATCAATTGGACCTTACTGAAGGCAATAATACTGTTATTGTCACATGTGAGCTGGGTGATATCCCGCTGCTTTTCCATCGAATACAAGTTCAAGCCACGTGTCAGCTGTAACAAAATGTCCCATTTTCACTTCTTCCCCATGTTGCCAGCCGAGATTCGCCTGCATATCTGGAGTCTCTCTCTCCCCTCCAGCCGTGTCATTCGCATCACCTGTGATCGGGGTATTAAACCGAATTCCCGACGCTACGCCCGCGGCTTCCGCGCCAACCATCCCAATCCCGTACAGCTCCAGGTCAACCGGGAAGCACGCGAGGAAGCCCTACGGGAGTTTGTCCCCTACTTCCGTACGGAAGTCTCGCCACATGCCTGCATTTACCTTGCGCCCGAGCGGGACACGGTGCATCTGGGGGAAGCGGTGCTAGCTTACCTTGGTGAGGCCGAGCGCGACGCTCTTCAACGCATGATCATCGAGGTTCATGATTATTTATTGTTTGAGACGTATGGATTGGAGAGTCTAGGGTGCATGCAGAGATTAAAGGAGGTGGACTTGATTGTCTCGCAGGCACCGGTGGCTTCGTACCACCGGCGTGATACTGTTGAGGTGATTAGAGATGCTTTTGAGGAGTATGTGAGAAATCATCCACAGTGGCAGATACCTCACGTCAGGGTGCTGTCTGCTTTGGGGAAGCAGATGGGCAGTTTTACCATCGATCCCGCGGAAATTGATACGGTACAACCATCGGTCCTTTTCGATGGACATGCGGAATGAATTTCGCGACATGGCATCGACTTGTACAACTGCTTGCAATGGTACGCAACAGGTGTCGAATCTTGTACTCTCAACGCAGTTCCCGCAGCATCGAAGCAAGCACTCGCACACCTTCTGGTGTCAGTCATTGGGGTATAATCCGGATTCCAGACTGGCAGCGTGACATGCTGCACTAACAGTCTGTCAGTATTCATACCTTTACTCGATATATAGATATAGCCGGTCATCTTTGCGGATGTTTTTGCATGGCACACAGAATGTACATAATGGTGCGCCTTGATCATCACTGATTTGAGAAGACGTGCAATGCATATGCTAGAATCTACTGCAACGAAACAATGGTGAATGCATGGACATGATATTTACAATGAGAGACCCTTCAGGTGAATGATCATACAGCCTCCCAGTCCATCGCATCGACAATAAAATCCCAATCGGCATTCGAGGCGTCAGATTGTGCCTGAGTATGGTTGCTCTTGTCGATGTTGGCCACGTGTTCCTGCGCCAGACGACATCCATCCTCCAGGCCGTCAAAGATATCCGCTAACATCCTGTCAAAATCGTAGTTCTGCAGCGGCATTGTCGCTTCTCGTCTGGGTGACCAGATAGACTCTTGCTCTTTTTCTTGGTCCGTCAGATCTGCCGTCTTCCAGCGGTTCCGCAGCTCCTTTGCTTTCTTCAGTTGCTCAAAGACGTTCCCTTTTCGAAACACAGAACGTAGAGGACAGTTCTCATCCTCAAGAGCTTCCAGGACATTTGCATGATATCGATGTGTGCTCCAGGCGGAGTTCAAGCCAGAGCCTTTGCCTACAGCCGATACGGTGATGCCAAAGACGCCAAGCAAGTGGACCAGCGCGCGTTCCAGAAGCGCATAGTACTCGTGAAAATCAATCTTGAACATGACTTCAGCGTGAGCGACAGCCTCAGGAGAATCGGTGCAGAGTGTTGCGAGACGGTAGCCCTCGGCTAGGAAAGGCAGTTTCCATTTTAAGCGAGCGACGATCTTCATGAAGCGCGACAGTTCTCCGGCGGGAGAGAGCAGCATTCGGCGTCCTGGGGAGGGGCACGCAGGCGGTGGTTGGCCAACTTGGCCTTGTGTTTTGTGCTCGTTGGGTTTAGGAGCCCAGCGGGACTGTAATAAGCTTGACATGATCTACCTGTGGATATTGATGTGGTGGAAGTTGATGTTTGGTGATTCATAACAAAACAATCAAGAGCAGTCAGGCTAGTCCTATTTAGGTAATGCCGTCAGACTTCTGGAGGAAAAGAATCATCATTACTTTCATTAAACAATCTCTGTGGAGATTTATACACAATCAGGTAGATCTATGCATCGACAAATCTAATTCTGCCTTCTACAGCTGGTTTCACAACAGGCAGTGAGTCTGACAAGCTGCGTCCTACGATAGTCAGATTCCGGGCTCGCTCAATGCCCAAGGCATGCGAACTACTCTGTGAATCGCCCCGGTACGGTTCTTCGCTGTGTCCGAATATATTGAGGAGCAAAGCTGTATCTGTCATCCCCGCTTCCTCGTTGACAATGGTCTCCAGCTGAGGAAACCACGTGAAGCCGTCGTGGCCCTGCGCGATAAAGGAGGGCATCGCGACTGTATACATACGTCGCGGATCAAGCGGTTCAAGATGACCGTCTGATCTTTCCAGTTGGACGTCAATGATACGGGATCCCTCAGGCCGGTGCCAGCTCGCTACGATCCTTAGCCCGGAGATCTGAAGGAATCGCCCATCCGTGTGCTTATCAGATACAGAATTCTCTAGCGACTGGCGGATAATCTCGCCGGGGAGCTTCTTCACAAGGAGGGCATTCCCAAATGGACAGATATCTTACGCTGTCAGACGGGCTTTTGTTAGCTGTGGGGAGTCAACATACTGATTACATCTCTAACTCGTAAGGGCTCGCAGTCTGGGACGGTGGCTTTTAAGATCTTGTCAGATCGGATCGCGCCGCTGTTGAAGAAGCCCACGTCGGTCCCGTACAAAGCTCGGACCGCGTCTGCCAGCATGTTGCCCAAACTTGTCTCCTCCCTCCGAATCGTAAAGTTGCGCCCGTCGATGGGAACAGCCGAATGCAGTAGTGGCTTTTGGACCAGTGTACCCACTCGTTCATGGATGGTGTCCAGCGTTTTGGTGATTTTCAACGGGGGCTGTGGCACTGCTATCGCAGCTTGGATATCGGTGTATTGCCGTACTTTGACTGTCAGCTTTGGCACGGCGACTACTTGATCAATCACCCACATTTCACTGTAGATCCTATCACAGCACCGTTATCATCTCGCTGGACAATAAGCCGTATCAGGGACAACCCTCTCCAGTCAGTCCCGCTTTTCACCAATCTAATATTGCCCTCAGCATCAGGGACCATCCCGTTCACTTCTATGTCGGAGACTTTGCGTCCTTGTTCAACGTTCTCCGCTTTGACGTCGGTATCGCCGGCAAACCGTCGAATCACTTCATGATCATGACCGCCAAGCAGCAAGTCAACCCTGCTATACTCACTGGCGGTTGCATTAGCGACTAGCATATCCTCCGGAACGCGCATGTGCGTCAGCGCAATAACCAGGTCACATTTCTCGCTCAGTCGGAGATAACGAGCCAGACGACGAGCAACCTCCACCGGCGACTCGATTTCGCAGGGTGGGAGATCTTCACAGTTCGAGGGCCAGTCCCTGTTCCCAGTCACGAGTCAGCTGCAGTAGCTAACTCAAAGATAAGTATTTGAAACAGCCACGTACGTGCCAGCAAGTCCTATAAACCCCACTCTGAGTCCATTCTCCAGCTGTCGCACGATGTATTCCTGCGCAGACCCAAGAAGTCTCTTCGTCTCACTGAGTGGGCGACGAAACACGTTAGAAAGCAACCAGGGGAACTTCAACCTGCTGGAAAGGTCGATCAATCGCGCATCGCCGAAGTCAAAGTCTGGCACTCCCATCAGCAAGAGCAGAGCAGCGGGTGTCGAGACTCGAGGTTCACGGCTCGTACCATGGTTTCCATAACACCCGATATCAACGCCTACAAGATCCAGAACCGGACAAATCTGCTCGCCTTTCAAGACACTTGCCTCGAGGGACGGCGAGAAGGCGTCCCCGCTGAAGAGAGTCAGAGTTTGCGCTCTTGGGTTGGACACTGCGAAGTTGCGTTGCAGTTGCAAAAACCCTGCAAGCAAACTAGCCGGGGGAATGTGATACTGATGATGGTAAGACTGGAGCGTTCCTAGACTGGGATATTGCTCAAAACTCACAACATCGTTGAAATGAACGAACTGGACCTCCTCAGACTGCATTTTGGCCTGGCGTGAACTTGCGAAGGTTGGCCAGCAGCTCGCGGTCTATATCAAAAAATTTTTTGAAGCGTCTCTGTCAGCGTCGCCTACGTGTTGGCAATCTCAATCAATACGAGATGTGGGGAAGTTTTACTAGTCAAAAGTTCTCTCCTTTGCGCGAAACCGCCAGCCGAACTCAACACTCGGAAGCGAAAAAGTGCTATCTAGGTTGGATTAAAAGGCATAGGACTTTTTCCACATTCGCCAACTGTCGCTGCATGATTGAGGTCGAAATAGAGATAAATTATAGTCACAGTAGTAGTAGTCGTTGTTGGTGTTGATTCATACCCCGACCCATCACCTCCTCTTAGGCGACACGCAGGAAGCCACTGTCGCTATATCTGTACGTACATCTACTACAGTGAACCATTATTTCCTTACGAACTTTGTTCCTCGTCACGCGTGCAACGGCATATGCGTGGTGCCGTGTTCTGCTCTGGGCGCTTGTCTTTGAAATCTCTGGAATGCCTCTGCAAAGTCCAGAACTGCACCTAAGATGCTAGCTAATGTCTTCCGCGGCGTCTTTAACTACGATATTGGGACATTTCTTTCCCGGGTAGGACTAGGTCAGCACCGCTTTTGCTCAGGAACTGACTCTAGAGTGTGGGGAACGCAGAAGTGCATGTCCTGAGTGCGCCATCTATACTGTAGACCATCTAACTGACATCTAACATGCTGGACTTTTTGGAAACAATGTCTAAGAGGAATGCTTGTTTACGCAACTGGCGCTGTATTAAGAGATATTTCGGATATAGACTAGCGCGATTGCCGATGGTCAACTTGAACTATGGATTGACGCGCCAAAATTACTGATATTGACATTTTATAACATATTCTCTTAGCCTAATGGTAGCTAGAAGCTATCAAATCTATTTGGATATGACCCCAAACGTCGGATCACGTTGATAATTGCACACAGTATTTGTAATCTTTTAGCTATGAATGTCATAATCATAGACTTCACAGTAGATGCAACATCGACCTCGATACCGTTTCCGTGAGGTAGTATCACCACAAGCCTCATCAATTCTTATTAAACCCTAGTATTGAAGCCTAGCAGCCATCAAGTATGTCTCTCTTGGGAAGCGCTCTGTGGAATGACATCTGTCTCTGCGAAAACCTAGTCCTCGGTATAATCCTAGTGTACGATTGATATATACCACAACATGCCAATCCTCCACTCTCCTTCTAGCAAACGACTCTTTGGATCCGCACATTGTCCACCCCATTGCAAGATCCCAGCCTACGATTGTGACGCTTACGAGCTGTATCCCAAGTTCCGCTGGGTCTACAATAAACTCACGGTAGCCGAACTCCAGGGAATCGAGTGCGGTCCGCACAGGACCAAACCAGACGCTGCACTTTTCCCATCTTTAGCAAGCCGATCTACAACCTTGGCGGGGCCGGCGCGGGGGCACGGATGATACATACCTTGGATGAATACCGGCGCAACTTCGTGCCGGGGCATATGTGGTCTGCCTTGCTGACCGGGGAGCATATCAGCACCGACATAGCGGTAGACGCCGGGAGGGCAGTTTGGTTCGCGCATACAAAGGGAGTGGCTGGCCCGGACCAGACATGGGAATACTAGGAGGTCAACACGCCAGTCGAGCTTTCGCTAGAGAAATATATCGCTGATTTCGTGGAAACGCATCTCACGGGATATACCGGCATGATGAATGTCGAAACGATCGGAGGCAAGATTATCGAGGCGCATCTGCGTTTCTCGCCTCAGTGGCCGAACATGTATGGATCTTGGTTCACTTCTTCCCTTGTGGACCTTTATTGCGGGAAGGGATGGACAGGTCCGTTGGCCTCGAAAATCGCCACACCCGTTGGGTATAGTGTCCCACTGTGGGATGATGAGAAGTATGCAAAGACCGGTACGACTCTCACGGACAACGCTTTTCGGCGGCTGGAAAGCATGTTCAATGTCGAAAGCATCACTATGCAGTATAGCCGGGAGAAGCCGTTGGAAAGTACTCCAAGGCCTTCGGGTGGCTTTAGGATTGCTTGGGTCAATGGGTATGATCTTGCGAGGTGCAAGTTGGCCAGGAGTGCCTTGCAGGCATACCTCCATCAATTGGATGACACAGAACAATGGATATATTAGGTATTTTAACTTGATTATTCATCTATCCTCTCATCATTGTTAATACAAGTATATTCTACTGAGTTCCGTTAATTCAACCCCTACAAGGATTGCCTCTACCTGGGTATGGATAGCACCTGTATTGATTGCTGCATGCGTGGCATACTAATATGACTCTACAACAACATTGGATATAAAGTCATATGCAGAGACCACATATACTTGTTTCCCTCAGATATCGAACAACGCCACTATTTACGAGAACTTTTAATGAATCATATACACTTTTAGTATAACAGGGTAACCCTGATTACAGCCAGTCAGCCACTAATACTTGAACGTAACGTACAACATAACCTCATTAACGACTATTTCTGCGCCGGGATACAATACATCAGATTCCCATGGCCCTCTCTCTCCGTATACGGGATCATGGATATCTTGGTCATCCCACACAGGGCTTGCGAGACCATGTACTCCAACTGCTGCGGGACAGGCTTACAGAAGCGCTCGAGTTCCCGGCCATCTTTTACAAGTAGGAGGGTTGGTTTCTCCACCATCGCTGCGTCGGAGATGTCATGGTGTTTCGACATGTTGATCTTGTAGAAGTCGATCATGTCGTCGGCGTCGGCAACGGCAGACGCCATGTCGTTGTAGGTGGGATCGAGGGAGGCGCATTGCTCGGGGGAATCGCAGAAGTAGAGGATGGCATATTTGTCTCGGTGGAGGATGGCGTGATATTCGCTTAGACTATGCATGTTTAGATCAGTTGGCGCCACTGAGACGAGACTTGGAAATCTTGCCTGCTGACGACAGAAGACATGGCTGGAGATGGACAGACAGTAGTTGAGAACGATTCGTGAGATAGATCTATATTATTTTGCGACTGAGGGTCTCTACGAGTTTTGTACCAGCTACCTACATTATGCGGACGCAATGCGTACGCATTTACAAGGACGATGACGGTTGTACTTATGGCGGTGGAGGCGTATCGTTGAGATCTCGTTGGTCTGCCAGGGTGGGGTACACGGTCTGGCCAGTCTCGATGCTATAAAGCAGGGCATTAAGGATATGTCAGTGGAATTGGGATGGCACTAGAGTATCTCTGTTCTTCCTATGTCTGGCTTCGCATCCGATACGCTGGGGCGGAGAATTCCATCTACGGAACACAGCGCTCATTGGGAGTATTACGAAGCGAACCTGGTCATAGCAGTGCGCATTACTTCATCTTATACCTTATTTCCTTATCACTGCCCTTGTATGGAATGATTGCGATGGTTTAGAACCTGGAAGTGCGTCGTGGTTATGTATGACATGAGAGTGGTGACATCACCCATGGAAGTGAGCCAACCAATGGAGTCTCCGTGGTTGCATATATCTGCCACATAAACCAAGACTTAACGATCTCTGATAAGATTGTAAACTTGTATTCCATGATCGAAACTTGCTTATTTGTATGGGGTGATGGTGACGAAGGTAAACGCGAATATGTGCCCATCTGTCTAAATTAAACACCTATCTATAGGGATTGTCAGGTCTCGACTATGTCCATCGCTCGAGGAACGGCACTGTCATACCAGAGCCAAGCATTCGGAAGTCAGAGTCTGGTCGAGCCATGCATAAGTTGGGGCGAATGGCGTCGAAGCCATGGACTACTGTCTGGTTGACATTGAAGACAAGAACTCGAACCAAATTATTGCACTTCTGGTATCTTGTGTCTATGTACAATTGTGCATACGGTATTAAATAGGAAGTCTATACACAATTATCTCCAGTATCACATCATACCGGTAATGTCTATATTAGATGATCGACTTCATGCATGGCACATACGACCCGAGTCGTCAACGGTCCAGTAGTCGCTGCCAACGGCCTTGAGAGCGTAGAAGAAGTAGTTGGGATCCCACTTCTGCTTGATCTTAAGCAGGGGAGAGTAGTTGACGCCGAAAAAGGTGTCCTTCCAGTTGGGTTGGCGGAAATTGGCCTCGTTCTGGTAGCAGCCGCTGCCAGGGGTGACTGCCTCCAGCTGGGGCACATACTCGTTGGTCATCTTGTACTGATCCTCCACCATCTGGGACCAAGGAGCGGTCTCGTTCCAGTGAGTACCGATCTGCATGGTGACGGCAGCATTGCGCATGGCGGGGAAGATGGCGTTGGAGACATCACCGGGCTGAGAGACGTTCATACCAACACCGACGGCGATGACACCGTGCTCGGTGATGTTACGGATGACCGACGCAAAGCCAGCAGCGTTGTTGTCGAGCACATCCCGGGGGATCAGACGACCACCATACTGGTACTCACCCACGCCGAGGTTACCGTAGGGCAGGGGGCCCATGTACTTGTTGTAGTGCTCATAGTACGAGGCGTACTCGGTATAGGCAACAGCATAGGGGATGCTCAGAGAATCCAGGACGTTGAGGAAGGGCGTCAGAAGAGCCTTGACATCGTCTGTCGTCTTGTTGTACGCGGTGATAGGGTTGATGGCGAAGAAGGAGGAGGCGACCTGGTAGATGACGGTGGCACCGGCATCGATCATTTCGGGCAGCAGACCGTGGAACTCGGATATAGCCTCGTAGAAGTTGTCTGCGGTAGTCTTGCTGGAGAGGAACTGCACACTAGCACCAGCAACCGTGGCGTCGGGGTGCGCCTTGATGGTGGCCGAGACGACCACACCATAGTTGCCGGCACCACCACCGCTGAGAGCCCAGAAGAGGTCGGGGTTCGTGGACCGGTTGGCAGTGACCAGCTTTCCTGCGGCCGTGACCACTTGGAACTCCAAGGCGTTATCGGCTCCCAGTCCGTAGGAGGTGCTGAGGGCGGAGTGTCCACCTCCCTGGATATATCCACCAGCCAGACCGACGGTAGGACATTCACCTCCGACCACCACCAGACCCTTGGCGTGAGCTGCCTCCATCACCTGGAAGCCCATCACACCAGCGCCGACCTTGAATGCGGGACCCTTGTAGTGAGCGTCGGACCAATCCTTGTATTGAATGTCGTTGAAGTGGTGCATCCAAACAGAAAGAGCACCAGCACCACTCGAGCGAGCAAAGTAACTGCACCTCCCATTAGCATTCCCTTGGCTAACCTCTTCCATAATCACTCACTCATGACCAGTGTTGCGAATGACAAAGCGGATGTTGTTCTTCCGGGCGAAGTTGACGGCAGCAATCACATCGTCGCTAGAGGAGACATCGACGGCGTAATTGACGTAGTTGCCCAGGGTACACGGCTTGGACTCTGCGGTGAAGGGGTCACAGCTCTGGTTGGCAAAGTAGGTCTGCATGATGGACGAGGAGGATTCAATGCTGCACACATTCAGGTCAGCTTCGCTTCATGCGATAACCAGAGCATGAAGGATAGCGCAGTTCTACATACTGAGTCTGGGGAAGATTCCAGGCATCCCGCAAAGCCGCACAGGCGGTCGCATCGTAGGTGGGATCATGGCAGGGCGATCCGATCGGGACGGTAGCCACCAGACGACCACCAACAGTGGAGTTGAGCGCGGCCCAAGAGGCAGGAGAGGGCCAGCAGCTGTCACTAGGCAAGCAACGGCACTCGGCGCACTTGGAGCCCTTTGCGGAGGCGAGCGCGACCAAAGCGGCCAACGCCCATGAGGTCTTCATGGTGTCGCGACGGGAGTGTGGGGAAGGGAGGAGGAGCGGAGGGGGATCGAGAGGAGTATATAGGTTAGGCGGATGGGAAGAATCTCACGATCGTCGGTTGATCATGCCGATCCTGAGCTTGCTAGATATTTATACTGGATGGTGGAGAGATGGAGGAGAAAGAGATGATAGGGAGATTACTATTGTCTAGCTACCTCGGCAGTCTTCCGTTGAGAAACGGTGATGTTAATGGGACGATGGCGTGAACTATTTGATCGGACGTATCCCTCGGGTTCTCCATTATTATTCTCCCGGTACCTGCACCGAGATGAGAAGTCTGGAAACATGGCAAACATCCATGCTTGCGGGTGGTGCATGCGCGGCGATGTTTCCCAGAGAAGCCCTGGATGGCCGGATTGGGTAATACAACCGAGTCCACCACGGGCAGCGGTGGGGGGGGAAGATCGATAGTCGTCGGGCTCCGATACACTTTTAGATATGCCCATACTCGAGATGGTTCATGGCTTGAAAATGTGTCTACGGAACCTGGAAAAGAAGGCTGAAGAACTGCTGTGTATTATGGATCTCGTATCTCCTCGACAGTTGATATGCTCGGTGGTCCGCCGAAGTGGCTTTTGTTGACCACATGGCAGTGACTAGCTATGGAGTCCCACGTGTGTAGTCTTCTGAACTAGGCAGATTCCATGCATCTAGAAGCGGGCTTTCGCTAGATATGCCCCTGACGGACATCCTGGCATCGTGCATGCGTCTTCCCTGTCAACCTTTAATGGTGCAAGGATCCTGCAACTTGGCCATGCACCGGCACTAGTGGCGGGGTCGGAGATATCGGAACTCTCTCATGAGGGCGAGAACATGAATCCAAGGAAAGAAAAGTAGTATCAGTCAGAGTGGGACATGGTCTTCGTATTTCTTCTCGGTTGCCAGCTATTCCAGTCTGCAATATGGCCATGCTGCAAAGTACAACATTGAAAAGTTTTGCTGGTTGAACGAGGTTGACATGCTTAATTTATATAATCAGAGAAACATGGTGCAGGAAGCAATGTCAGGTAGATTGAACTTTTAATTATGCGTCGTCCTTAATTTAATATTTTGATTAACGGGGTTTTATGCGAAGTCCCTGGGCAAGCTTATTCGGCAGAGACGAAGACATTCATTATTGCAGCCAACCACCATTTTTTGATCATCTTCACAGATAGTTACAAATGGTATGCTCAAGGCTGGCCACACTTGATGCGTCCTTAATAATAGAATCGGCTATTCTTCGGTTCGGTCCCACTGTCCTACGGAGCCTGCTCGAGAGGACATCGAAAAAATGAGTATTCCAGTCACGTACTACATCCCGGATGCAACAATGGCGCTGAAGACTGGAGTCTCTGTCAACTTCTCCAATGG